TTTCCCTCTTATTAAAAAACAACAGGGCTTTGTAAGACCCCACTTTCTGAGATAAAGAGGCACTGGATAATTTAAAGCTTTTGTTTGTTGTGTTTTAAAATAAATATTTACTGTTTCACTTTAATCCAAAGAATGAAATTGCCTAGCGTGGAACTTTGAATTACCGATAGAAACCAGTTTTGTCCATACAATCAAATCCACCCAGTGAACAACTAAATCAGTTTAATACTTTGAGACGGTGTTTTGTTAAAATTCAGAATTTGAATCCTGCATTCGGTGCTCTGAGTTCCCTAATATTTTCCACAGATTATTTAATATTTTGATTTATGATTTTAAAAAATGTTTCCAATTATTTGCTATTCTCTTACTGTTATTTTAAGTGAATAAAAAATGTTAGGAGATTATTTCACTTGGGTTACCCAGAAGGCTTCATTTAAAAACACTTAAAGGAAGGATATATCAAGATAGCAGGTTATCTGCTAGTAAAAAACAATGTTGATCATAGCTGACACTGAAGTTTTTTTAATATCAGAGAGTTGAGTGTTATTTTCCACTTGGAAATATTTCTTTGCTTTTCTGATAGAAAGCAATAGGAAAAATAACATTTTCTTCATGGAACAGCATGACTTTACAGCCAAATATTCTGTACATAGAGTCCATAAAGCAGAAATTGTTTTTTAGATATGTATTAACACAGAGTTTAACAGTTACATGCCCCGAATTATAGTGATGTGATTAGTTCTAGAACCCTTTAAATGTTCCTTGGAATTTCTTATGGGCCTCTGAAATAAATTCTTTAGTTGTTTTTAAAGTGTGGTCCGATGGTTCTCGATGGTTCTAGATTTCCCAAGGGTATTCAGCTATGTATTAATTATAATGACACCATAATCAACTCTTAAAGCAAAGCAGCTGAAAAGCATCTTCTCAAAGCATTTGAGATCATCTCAAAGAATTTTATCTCCAGTGTCCTTGGCCAGTTTTCTATAGGATAGACATTATCAAGCCACTCATTAAAGAAGAAAGGAAAGCTCTACCTGGCATAGGACTTAGTGAAACAGTGAGTGCCTCTTCAGGTCTTCAGACTTCAAAGCCTTGTGTGTGCCGATCAAGAATAAGGTCTTTTGCATGCTGCTTCTGGGCAGGGAGGGTCGTATCTCATGGGCTGGAGAGGGAGATCTTTCATCAGAGATCTTGGCCGCTGCAGCTTCTGACGGCAGTTAACATTGCTTTAGCTCTTGTCACTATTGACTTTTGTCAACCGGGTCGCTCTGCTCTGTCCTTGGCACTAGAAAGAATGTACTTACCAATGCGAACTGTTTCTTTCTCTATTTTGTTCTCACTCAGGAGCCCCAAACTACTGTAATCCACAACCCTGATGGAAACAAGGTATTCAGAAAGAATCAACATCATCTTGCTTTAACAAGATTACACATTTCACCAACTAGTCAAAGCAAAATTAATTTACTATCTAAAAATAGGAAAGAAAATTCATACCCTTTTCCTACCACATTTCTTTTGGAACCTAATTTGTCTAGAACTATACACATGACTTCAAATAAAAATGAATGACATCTTGAAAGAGAAATGAATGTCAACACTAATCAGTAGAAGTCAGGCTAAACATTTATGAAGTCTTTATGTCAAGATGATTGTGTATCTTAAGCAATTCCATCTGGTCTTTGTTTTCCCCCAAGACTGTTTGTGCTTTGTACTGTAGATGTATTCTGCATGAAATTTTAGAATTTCTTGCGATATCATTCCATTGTCTTCAAAATATCAACTTAAGTTCATAGTTTTTTTTTTTTAATTTAATGTTGCTTTTGAGTTTCATCCTATTCTGTCGTCAGAGTGGTTTCTTGTTTTCTGTTTTTAATTCCCTGTTATGATGATGATGTTGGTGTTGCTGTTGTTTGGCATGAATATGAGGAGAATCAGGGAGTTTCACTTCTTGTGAAATATGTGTGTTGTTGAGTTACATACATTTCAGTAAAAGACATTTAACTACTTACACTGAAAGAAGACTAATGTTTTCTATACATTGCAAATTATTTGCACAGCATGTTAACTAAATAACAGCACTTAAGTACATGTCTAAAGGATGAAAGGAGGTATTTTCTGAATGTATTCTGTGTTTCCAGTTTATTACTTTCCATACATTATTTTATCTCTAAGGGGAGGAAAAAATACTTCTTTATACTTTTTTCAAATATTAAGTATAGTCATCTATACTCGTGTCAACAATATTTGAGACTTAGAAAACACATTTCCTCTCTGGTTGAACATTTAGTTGATCAATATTAAAATCATTCAAGTAAAAAAAATGAAGTGTTTTTATATATGAGATTTATTTTTAGTCATGACACCAAAAGTGTTCTAGCTACATAAAAGACTGAGGCAGCAGGGCCGTCACATATGAGAACAATTTTTCAATAGCATTACCAAATGAAAGACCAAGTATAACTGCTGGAGTGGATGCTACAATAGTCCTAACTATATATATATCATGTGTAAGAGTTGCTGCATGGTATTTCTTGCTTACATAAATTAGTTTATTTTTACAATGCATGGATTTACCTTCATTTGGGGTTTAAATTTGAATACTAGGTCACGTTAAGAAACGCATGAAGACTCTTTTCTTTGGTTTTGTGTATATGGAGACTCTGGATACATCTTTAATCAGTTTGTCCCTTTGGTTTAAATATCATATATGATAGTTATAGAAATTGATCACTTTTTTAAATATTCAATCTCTAAAAGGACCCTGACTTTGTTACTGAGCATATAGCTATTAATTGGAAGTTTGTTTCCAGTATTTTTTTGGCTCTAGCCTTTAATCATTCCAAGTGGAAAATTGTATCTTTCTTATGAATATTGCAAAATTTCTTAGCTAGAAAATATTTTGTTAGTACATTATTAAAAGAAACGTTTATCAACTCATTTTAAGAAATGTGTCTTTTTTTTTTTTGAGGCAGAGTATCACTCTGTTGCCCTGGCTAGAGTGAGTGCCGTGGCGTTAGCCTAGCTCACAGCAACCTCAAACTCCTGAGCTCAAACAATCTGCCCGCCTCGGCCTCCCAGAGTGCTAGGATTTCAGGCACGAGCCACCGCGCCCCGCCAAAGAAATGTTTCTTAATACTGGCAGTTACAGTGTACTTTTAAGTGTGCTTATTGATCTTCAACTTAATTTGTAGTTTTGCAAAGAAGTATCTTTGTCTTTTCCTTATGGAAACAGGTTTCTTATCAATGGCAGCCAGTTTCTAATTTAGAAAACAATGAAAAAAAATCTAACAGTCCTTGAAAGTAAATTATTCATTATAATTTCATTGTGCTGATGACAAAAATGAAAATTCTTTTTAAAAGTACTTTCATCAGATCTCAGCTTAATACCCTTAGCTGCTTCATCGAATGATACAATGAAATGCTTTCTCTCCCTACAAAGGAGTAAAGCAGACAAGCTTCACATTCAGTGCTTGACATAGTGCCTGGCACAGAGAAGGTACTATTTGTTGATTAATTAATTGGGAATAAAAATTGTCCTTTTTTAAGATTGAATTCATTTGACTAATGTATTCAATTGCTCATAAACACACATACCTTACGGGGCACTATAATACCAACACATCCTTACACAGTTCTTAAAATAAACTGCATACTTCCACTGCTTCTACAAACCACCTAGATTTATACTGCTTCAGAGACTAGGCAACCAGAGAACTCCCTCTGTGAAGTGTTTGCAGCATTTGAATTTCATTTCTGTTAAAAACCACGTAACGTATTTGTCCGTTTGCATGTCAGCATATGCACACAGCCTGCTGAAGAATTTTGCATGAAATGTATATCACTAGCCAATTTTTGAAGAAGAAGTTATGCTGTTCATGCTGTGCAACTTAAAAATATGTTTTCTTCTCAACAGGAGTCAACTGAGAGTTCGAACACAACAATTGAGGATGAAGATGTGAAAGGTATGATTTAACCAGGAATGGAAAATTCTAACTGGGAGCTCCATATATATATGAAAAATATATATATTTGTCTCGAATAAATAATAGGTTTAGGAAGTAGGCCTATCCTAAAACACAAAAATAATTTCCTTTTTATAAGCACATAATTATTTAAATAATATGTATTGATTTCGTCAACTTTTTTTACATATTCTTTTATGTATTTCAAACTATAGACAACATGTGGTATATTCAGGCACTTTGTGGTAATGACAACTAGTGACAGTTTGGGAACATAACAAATTGCAAATATATGAGTCAAAAAGTAATATAAAATGTATAAATGTTGGGTACTGTCTAGAAAACAATTTATATTCAAGGATGTGGTATAAAAATAACATTTTTTTAACTTTCAGTGGTCCCAAGTGAGTATCGGCAGAATTCTGTATTTGGCAGCCTTTTTATCCTAGGTTTTCATGTAATTCCCTAATATGTTCTTGACCTCCACTCACTTTGGTTGCCAAAGTTCTTTTAGCTACATATGGGTCATTGGTGGCATTTCTGATGACATCTCAGTGCTTCTCTACACACATACTCAACACACATTTGCAGCTAGCTTTCTTCCTTCCAGCCACCTCACTGTTTCAGAAGTGTTACTTTTGCTTCAATTGCATTTGCAGTTTTGTTTTCTTATGTTTCTAATTCAGTGTACGTAACTACAATTTCTAGAAGACATTGCAAAAAAGAATGGTAACAGTAAGGATATTTAAAGCAGAAATATTAAAGGAAAAGACATATAAAGTAAATCGGGAGGAATGATCCATAATCTGGAAATATTACCTACCTAATAGTATCACCATGGACTTTAATTCTACAGGTAGCATAATAAGATACAGTCTTAAAAGGTTGTATTCGTGTTGCAGAATGTAAAAACCTGAAAATTCTCAGGTCAAGGAGACATATGGTCAATTTAGGAAATAAAAATGGCTATAGACCACAAGTTGCTAGGTACCTCTGCTGACTTTTTCCTTTTTGGTTGACTAGAACAGCTGACACCATTAACGTGTACTCTCTATTTATATCACTAAGCACACTGACCTAACTCTTCTAGAGGCAGTCAGTCACTATTTTTTACAGTGGAAAGGTGAATAGCTGTGTCAGGGTTTTATTTAGTACATCTATTCATCTCACTCTTGCCCTTGAGCTAAAATTTGAACTGAAGTAATTTTATAAATCATTAGATACCAGTCATATAAGATAAAGGGATTCTTTTTTTATTTCATTTTTTTTATTTCAGCATATTATAGGGGTACAAATATTTAGGTTACATTATTGCATTTGCCCCACCCAAGTCAGAGCTTCAAGTGTGTACATTCCCCAGACAGTGTGCACCGCACCCATTAGGTGTGTATATACCCATCCCCTCCTCCCCCTCCCACCTGCCTGACACCCAATGAATGTTATTATTATATGTGCACGTAAGTGTTGATCAGTTAATACCAATTTGCTGATGAGTACCTGTGGTGCTTGTTTTTCCATTCTTGGGATACTTCACTTAGTAGAATGGGTTCCAGCTCTAGACAGGATAACGCAAGTGGTGCTAGATCACTATTGTTTTTTGTGGCTGAGTAGAACTCCATGGTATACATATACCA